TATGGAATTTATTACTAATATTGGGTTCCATTGGATATTGCTATTGTAGATTGAAGGTTCTTATAGTTGTGGATCATTGTAGTATCACTAAGGGGCGACATTGAGGTATGTGAGGCTAACTCTCTATGTTTGGGAATGTTAATGATCCTCCCTACACTACGTTCCTTTTACGACGTATCAATTGCCTCAGAAATATAGTTAAGTCTAGTTCCTTGAATAGTTGTAGAACTTCTATTCTCTAGCTTCATAACTCGTTCATGACTTTCATTCTGAACGTCGTGAGCTCAGTTCATATTCAATATAGACTTGGGTTTGATATCCCTAAGTCTCAGTACATCTTACCCAGTATGTCATAGACAGTTGAAGTTTCAATGTTCAAGAATACATGTCCCATTCCAGTATCATGTAACTCAGTATGATTCAGTATTCCAGTATTATGTACTTAGTATGACCCAGTATTCCAGTATCATGTAACTCAGCGTGATTCAATATTTCACTATTATGTATTGCAGTATGATTCTCAGTTCCTGATTTTAAAATCCCTGAATGTTGAACACCTGTATTTGGGCCTGAGGCCGCAGTCAATGCTTTAGGTATATTCCTATCCTAACCACAAATCTGTTTTCCCCCAGGGTTAAGATCGTGCTCTCTTTAATTCTTCTCTAATCTAAACATGGCTTTCCAAAGCATAACATAAATAATAAATACTAGAACCTAACTGTTGGCCAGACAATTAAGCAATTAATCACAGAATTGAAGAAACGGCCATATATTAGTGAATTATAATCAAGGTTAAGTGTCACGACCCGGACTTCCCACCCTCGGGAGTCGTGATGGCGCCTACTCATGAAAGCTAGGCAAGCCGAGTGTTACAGATTTTTATTACCCTTTTTAACAATTTTAAATTAACATGTGATCAACAACAGAATAGTAATAATGATAAAAGAAATGCGGAAGACGAAATCTGATAATTTAACTAGATACTAGTACGAAAATCCAAAATACAACTCTACCTAGGACTGGAGTCATAATGTCACGGACCATCTATGAATACTACAAACAATGGTCTGAATAGAAAAATACAAGTCTGTCTCTGAAATAAATAAATACAGAATGGAAAGGATAGAAGGGGATGACAAGGCCTGGACGTCTGCAGGACTACCTCGGGTCTCCGCTAGACTGAAGGCAACAACCTCACTATGGTCCAAATGCTCCCGCACCGAGATCTGCATACAGTGCAGAGTGTAGTATCAACACAACCGACCCCATGTGATGTTAAGTGTCGAGCATAACCTTGGCTAAGTAGTGACAAGGCTAAGACAAGACTACCAAATAAACCTATGCAGTTAAAGTATATACGACAAATAATAATAACGAAAACTAGCAGTTAAAGATGGGAAGGGAGAACATGTTGCGGGGAATATCAAGTACTAACAGAATTCCAGTAAAGAAGCATAAAGAACACCATAACTTCATACCAGCAAGAATAAGGAAATCAGTAACGAATCAATATTCACTTTTATTCTTTCTTGTTGCGGCGTGCAACTCGATCCCAATCATATAATACTGTTGCGGCATGCAACCCGATCCCAAATCATATAATGATGTTGCGGCGTGCAACTCGATGCTAAATTATATAATGATGTTACGGCGTGCAACCCGACCCCAAATCATATAATGATGTTGCGGCGTGCAACCCGATCCCAAATCTTTTAATGATGTTGCAGCGTGCAACCCTGTCACGCCCCGAACCTGGGCCTGGACGTAACACGGCACTCGGTGCCTGACTACATATGACCGAGCGAACCAACTGGCTGGCTGAATCAACATGTGATATCATAACATACTAAATGCGGAAGATAAGCTAACACATGCTGACATACTGAAAGTTCGGATGTTATAAATCAAAGTGCGGAAGTAGTAATACCATTCTGAAACATATATGCAACCAACATGGCTTAACATGAAAAGTCTGAGACTCTGTCNATGCGACCTCAGGTCCAAAATGCATAAAGCATAAAGTGCGGCCTCAGGCCCAAAGATACATAAAGCATAAACTGCGGCCTCAGGCCCAAAGATGCATAAAGCATAAACTGCGGCCTCAGGCCCAAAGATGCATAAAGCATAAACTGCGGCCTCAGGCCCAAAGATGTCACCGTGCTTAATTAAACATCATATCTTAATGCTTCTTAATAGATTGATTTCATAGGAATATAGGCGTTAATCTATTTTAAATAGGTGGATAGTAATTTGGGAGAAGGCTATGAGAGAGATTGTTCGATTAATTAGCAATCACTCACATGAAAGGGAGAGTTAACTAGGACACAATAGGATTGGTAAATCGATAACAACCCTGGAATATTTGTCTCTACTGAATACATAACAACCGTTTTGCTGCTTAATAATCTAGTTACTACTTAAGATTATAGTTTAGTATAATTAAACTCTTGAACTCGAATTGACTCGACTGAATAACATTTTGGTGAATTTAGTGTGTAGTTGATACAAGTGTCTGTAGTTTCGACACTCGACTTATCATTTTATTACTTATACGACCACGTATACTTGCGTGTGTGTTAGGAAGCAATATTCTGCATGTCTTTTTCGATCAAGTTATTGGAATTCATGGATATTATATTTGGTTTTAAATCACTTGACAACAAAAGTAAGATGTGCCAACCCTCTTTACGTAGACTTAAAAGCGAAACAAAGGGGAAAAGCAAAACCATCATGAGAAGATTATGAGGGACGCTCCTTTTACACCGCAAATAAAAATAGCACTAAGTGGTCGTTTGATTTACAGACTAGTTATACGAAAATTATAATGTAACAAGTAGTTTAATTGGTGAAACACTATATATACTAATCTAGAAATTGCCTAATGCAATAGCATTTTTATTTACTCTTATTCTTGTTTTATTGATAAACATTTTCTCATTTGATGTTTTATTTGAATAAAATAATACATTGAATCTTGCATAACTTAGACAAGTATTAGCAATATGTGAATTTAAATATCATCAACCTAACTTGCACAAGTTATACATAGATTATTATTGTTTGCAACCAACCAAATATTGTATTTTACTTACTCGAAATTTTCCACTGGGATTACTTTCATTAAAGCAACTAATCAAATGGCCCCTAATTGTTTTTTAACCCACCTATTATCTCCACTCATGCCTAAGATCCATAGAAGAAGAAAAATTAGGAAGAAAAAACAATAAAAGAGAAACAATTGCATGACACAAAAAGTTCAAGAAAATTGACTGAATGTTTCCCTTTCAAGGACTAATATATTACAACCGTATGAAATTTTGAGAAAATGGGGTCAATAGAAAGAAAAAAGAATGAAGTAGAAGAAGAACTATTAAGTTACAGTTTACAGAGGACAATTAAAAAATTTATTTAAAAAAAAAAAGGCAAGATGAAGAAATTAATGATGTTCATCCCAAAGGTCTAGTTGCCAAAGGAACAACCTCAGCCAAAGGAGTAGATTGTGGTGTTGGCAATGGAGATGTTCTACAAACTGGACAACTTGGATTCAACATGAGCCAAGGATCCACACATTTCAAGTGAAACAAATGTCCACAATCTGGTAACAATCGAAGCATGTCCTTCTTCTTATAATCTGCTAAACATATTGAACAACAACTAGCTGTTGAGTCCTTATGATTGACCTTAGCTTCAGAGTACAACAACTTAGGATAACTCAAAAGTGTTTTTTCATCGAGCCCTATTTCCACCACACAATGTTCAGAAAGCTCGTTTTGATTGATTGTTCTTTGTCTTCTTGGTGGTAACTCTGATGTTTGATTTCGAGTACAAAAATATGAAGTAAGGGTTATTGTTGTAATTAAAAGAAGAACACCTACTGAAACACCAATTCCGTAGCCGAATCCTCCGATATTTCCCGATCCGAGAAAACCTCCGGTGTCGGAATTTGGATCGGAGAAGGTGGTGTTATTCATGATGTTTTAAGAGAATTATGGGAGTGGTTTTGGTTTGGTTAGCCATTGGTATTATAGGACGAAAAACAAATGGTCCAAAGATAATGTGTAAGTCAACGATTTTACGTAAGAGATTCGGAAGAAGAAGAAAGAAAGGGGAAGATTTGGACTTGAGAGAAATGAACAAAAAAAATACTTACTATAGTACTTAATAAAAAAGAGAAAAAAAAAAAAGTGTGGATATATTCAGTGGTTTCTTGTGAATATGTATAGATACATATATAGTGCTTTTTTTGGTTGAGTTCATATGCTTGAATGGAAAGTTTGAGATGTTAAAGTCACTAATCTATGATTTTCTTGTACGCTTTGTTTCATATGAGCAACTTTAATTTGTCCAATAGTGAATTCATTAATAAGTTTGCTGATATAGCCAGTAGACAATTTATTAATTAGATCCCCTCCCCTTTCTCTCTCTCTTCTTAATGAGCCTACTAATTGCACGTTCCATGCACCAAAGAATTAGATGGTCATGATGCGTATTTTATGTATTTTTTCTTACATTAATATATATATATATATNTGAAAAAATAATACAAGAATTTAACAAAGTTTGGTAAAGCCTACGACCTAGGGGCAAAAGTAGGAGTCTGAAACCTAAATAATAGTATTTTGGACTCAAAATACCTTTATACAGTTTAAAAAAAGTTACATTTCTAACTAAAACGCAGTATTATACTGTGTTTTAGTTTAACGGAAAGTTAATCGTTAATGTAAAACATAGTATAATACTACGTTTTACTAAAACGGTGTATTATAATGCGTTTTACTATTAAATTATAAAGTCTTCTTCTTCCTCACGACAGAAACCAGAAGGTTTCTTTAAACAAATACCTCACCCCTTCCAGCAGTCCCCCCCCCCCCC